GCTTTATTTTCGATCAATTTTCATGATAAGAACTCTTTTTATTTGATCCAAAACTTATACTCCATATATATGTATATGTGGTGTGTTTGAAATAAAAATGCTTAAAAATGCACCAGATATATTAACTTAAAGTAGTTTTAGATGATAAAAAAAACTTAAAGTAGTTTTAGAATTATTCTTGACATTAAATCATGCCAACGTCCGTATATGTCATTATTAGAAGAAGAAATGATACAAAATAATTTGAATTGAAGAAATGAGAATCTAAAATAAAAGATATAGAAATTCAAAAAGTGTGATTTAAACAACATTACATCCTACAGTGATTTAATTGAACATAAATAAATATCATATGTGCTAAAGTCTAAAGAAGCAATAATGGAGTCATACCGGTATACAACTTTGGACCCGGGCCATTTTGGAAGACAGAGCTCTCCCAACCTCCGCCCTACCATTTGAACTATCACAACTCACTCTTACAAATAGCAACTTGCTTTAATATATAAATACTTTCTGAACCGGGGCTGAGATATACCACTACAAAAAACACGTGCTTTGTCACGGATTTTGTCACGGACCGTAGTTCAAAAAATCCGTGACAAATGATTTTTGTCACTGACTTTGTCACGGACCAAATCCGTGACACCAAAGGGCGTGATAACGTATTTGTCACGGGCAGTAATCCGTGAGAGCGTTTGTCACGGATTTCTCATGGTCACTTGATACTACATCACTCGAATCTACGAATTTTTGAACAGATAAGTGTTGTTCTTGCAATTGTAATGGACGATGGTGTTGGGATATATAAAAAAATTTGTCACGGATTTGTCACGGATTTATCCGTGACAACCCCTTTTTCGTACTGTATTATTAAAGGTTACCGCTGGAAAATCAATAATTGAGGTTTTTCACGGATTTTGTCATGGATCCATCCGTGACAAAGTTTTTTTGAAATCCGTCACGGATTTGTCACGGATCTGTCCGTGACAAATGCCCGGGAGCGAAAAAAGTTTTCGCCAGAGTAAAAAACCGGTCGCCGGAGTAAATTTTGATTTATTTATCAAATTGTCACCGAGTTTTTGATAAAATATAGTGCATTGTTGGCTGATTTTGAGTCATCGGATCTCAAGTTAAATGCACAAGCTATATTTTCGATCAATTTTCATGATAAGAACTCTTTTTATTTGATCCAAAACTTATACTCCATATATATGTATATGTGGTGTGTTTGAAATAAAAATGCTTTAAAATGCACAAGATATATTAACTTAAAGTAGTTTTAGATGATAAAAAAAAACTTAAAGTAGTTTTAGAATTATTCTTGACATTAAATTAAATGCCAACATCCGTATATGTCATTATTAGAAGAAGAAATGATAAAAAATAATTTGAATTTAAGAAATGAGAATCTAAAATAAAAGATATAGAAATTCAAAAAGTGAGATTTAAACAACATTACATCCTACAGTGATTTAATTGAACATAAATAATTATCATATGGGCTAAAGTCTAAAGAAGCAATAATGGAGTCATACTAGTATACAACTTTGGACCCGTGCCATTTTGGAAGACAGAGCTCTCCCAACCTCCGCCCTACCATTTGAACTATCACAACTCACTCTTACAAATAGCAACTTGCTTTAATATATAAATACTTTCTGAACCGCGGCTGAGATATACCACTACAAAAAAAACACGTGCTTTGTCACGGATTTTATCACGGACCGTAGTTCAAAAAATCCGTGACAAATGATTTTTGTCACGGACTTTGTCACGGACCAAATCCGTGACACCAGGGGCGTGATAACGTTTTTGTCACGGGCAGTAATCCGTGAGAGCGTTTGTCACGGATTTGTCACGGTCACTCGATACTACATCACTCGAATCTACGAATTTTTGAACAGATAAGTGTTGTTCTTGCAATTGTATGGGACGATGGTGTTGGGATATATAAAAAAAATTGTCACGGATTTGTCACGGATTTATCCGTGACAACCCCTTTTTCGTACTGTATTATTAAAGGTTACCGCTGGAAAATCAATAATTGAGGTTTGTCACGGATTTTGTCATGGATCCATCCGTGACAAAGTTTTTTTGAAATCCGTCACGGATTTTGTCACGGACCTATCCATGACAACACGTTTTCGTGACAAATCCCAATATTCCGTGACAAAGCTCGTGACAACTTTGTCACGGCCGTAATCCGTGACAAAAATCCGTGACAACACGCGAGTTTTTTTGTAGTGTACACATATATACATACAGAACCGCCGCCGGAGAAGGGGGAGCGCCGGCACCGGCTCACCCCCAGTTCCGCCACTGTATACACACACCAACTAGTTTAGTTTATTCAAATAATTTATTCTAAATAATAATTTTAAGTCTTACACCTTAGCTTTCATTTGCATGCAAGTAATGCAACAAATAAAACTGCAGACCACTATTTCATGTCGTAGTTTGACCAGTCCTCCATATGTCGCTTCCCCATTTCTGAAGAGGCATATACTTTTCTAGACTACTACTCCATAGTAATACGAGTAATACATTTAGAAAGCGATTAGATCGCAGTTTATTTGCAGCGTTCCAAATACTACCCTACAAAAAAAAACATGGGATTCACAAGGATTTACGCACGGATTTGGCAATGATTTAGGTGAGGATATGCCAAATTCGTGTCAAAAACACTTTGGTTCGAGCTATTTGGCATGAAAAATCGGAAAATCCGTGCCAAATTTCGTGTCAATCACGTAGTTTTTTGTAGTGCTAGCTCCGTGTATGAGTGTATACATCTAATATTAGAGGGGTCGTCTAATTAACAAGTTGTGATTACAATTTCTAGAGAATCCATGGCATCCTCTAAATTCTACTACCTCTGTCTTTGAATGACCTTCCCAATTTTGGAAATGTTGGAAAATGTGTTAAAAGTGTATCAAGTGGTCAATGTAGGGCAGAATTGTGAGTGGATCTCACATTCGATTTGAGTCGGGTCAAAGTGGTTTCGTATTACTCTTGTTAAGTGATTCTCGAAGTTCACTCGTTGAAATGGAGAAAACTAGGAAAATGATGAGTTTACAGTGTGACTTATCCCACACCGGAAAACTCAATGGATTTTCCCTCCCTTATAAAGGTGACCCTCTTTGTGGAGTTAAAATTCCTTGATGTAAAGGCTCTCTTCTCGCGCATGGGTGCGAATCAAATTCTGAAACTATCGTGCAACCCTCATAGCACAATGGGAGGCAACGAATATGTTTTAAAAAAATTGTGCATTACACAACCTTTGACTTTCTATCTCATCTTGTAGAGTTGTATAAAGGAGAGAGAAATGCGTAAAAGCAAACCACAAATTCTTTGAAAAAATGAAAAAGGAAAATTCCAAAATAATTAAGAGGCAGGTCAAATACTACCTACTACGTAAAATATTATGACAAAATATATTGGTATACAAAATGTGTACACATTTAGCACACTCTCCTGTGTATCAAGACATCTCGTTTAAGAAAAATTAAAACAACAATTTTTTTGTGCATGTGGCTCGTTTAGAAAATTGCAGTGATCGTATGCATGTACAAGAGTGAGCCAAATGTATGCATCATTTGTTTAAACCAAGAATGATCGGAATAGTTCGGTCCCTAATAATTTTAGTCTCAAAAGGTAACGTCCGGTCGGGGTTGGGAGGCCCTCAGGGATGGGGTGTCATTCTTTTTTTTTTTTGAAATAAATTTTTGCGTTGGGTCGAGGTCACGGGTGTAAGGATGGTTTTAAACTGAAATTTTCTAGTGTAGTGTGAACTGATCTGATCTGGTCTGATAAACGTACATCCAGTTTATGTGTATTGTATAGTGTCCAGATCTGATCTGATCTGGGAGTGAAAAAAGTCCAACTAAAAACATCTGAAGTACCTAGGGGGAGAAGGACCGTGTTAAGCCCCATCTCATCCCAAGTTTAATTCGAAAACATGAGTGCCAACGGTTTAAACATTAATTGAAAATTTGAAATACCTTCTAAAACTGAAACTTTACATTTACTAATAAAACTATCTTCGAAATCAGTAGTTATATTGTTTTGACAATTGCAAGCTTAGATTTTTTAGAAAAGGAATGTGAGGTGCTTAAAAAAGTCATAGCCATTTAATAACCCCTTCATCCCAAGATTTTAATAGATTTTTTCTCTGTCATTAACAATTAATGAGAGCTTCCCTTTCAAACTTCAGACTTTTCGAATACTTTTTTGTCGATCACTAGTGTAAATTGTAGAAGTCAAGCTTTCAAAAAATCCAACAACTTTACCATAATCCAAAGGTTATAAGTCAAGTCAAAGAGACAATATGCACCCTAATGACAAAGCATGCCATAGCTAAATGTTTTTCTAGAATTTTATACAATGGCAAGACTAGGGAAATATGTATTAGGTAGTAATGTAGAGAGTGTCACAAATCTTTATATGTCAATACAAATTAAATCGTTGATTGAGTGTCCTAAACTAATTTTAACTTCAGTATATTGAATTTACTTTCTATTACTTTTCAAGAAAATTGTACTAACGTCACAAATTAATTAAGCCTTTAGTTATACACTTATACAATGAGATATTACCCGAAATAGGACTAATTACTGCCATGTTTTTATTCCCAAAATAGGATTAATTACTGTCATGTTTTGGCAATACCAGACTTCAAACATGACAGTATTTCCTAAACATGGCAGTAATTAGTCCTATTTTGGAAATAAAAAACATGACAGTCCTATTTTGAAATTTTGAAACTGTTTTAGTCCTATTTCGGGAACTTTCTCTATAAGTAAGTTTACATTTTTTACTATACTTTTTGTTACATTGATTGGTGAGAACTTAGGTAACTTGGCACCATTATTCAAAAGACAATAGATGTATATTTATTCTTGCTTTTTATTGTGCGCCTTTTTATGATTCTAGCTAGGATTAGGATAGATTCTTTTAATATGATTTAATCATTATTACTTGACTTAATTGTTCTAGAAACACAATAATTTCTCATCTTAATCGGAGCTTCTTGGGTATATCCGATGCGTTCGATCCCGACTTCCCTTGAATAGCGCATGTGCATAGGTTCCCTTGCTACAAAAACAAAAACCTTCTGTCACATAAAAGTGAACTTTAATTTTCTCAAATGATTTTATGGCAATAAAGATTTATATGAGATCTATAGTTAGAGATTTGGAAAAGAAACATCCATGTTTAATGCTTGGTAATGTCAAACTATACACAAATGTCAAATTAAAATATGGTGGAATTCTCTCTAGGGTTACCCATTCGGTAACGCCTAGGACTTTCCGCCGCCGCCGGATTCAACCAGGCCAGCGCCAGGAGTCCATGCGAAGCGAGGTTTCTGTTGCCGAGCTTCGTTCTCGAAACATCGGTGTGTACCTATTTGGATTTTGATTCATCAGGCGAGTTGGCTTCGGATGATTTGGAAGGGCAGGCTTTGGTTTCGTTTTGGGAGGGGTTCAAGTGATCGTGTTTACTGAGTATAGGAAGGAGCAGGGGCGGCTGTATGGAAAGCGTAGTGGACAAGTACATACAGATGGCTTTGGAGGAGGAGGAGCAAGAGTTGGATCTCAATGATACGGAGGCGAGTGAGGGGCCGAAGGAGGAGAACAGACCGGGCTTCCCTGTGGTCGGAGTGCTGCTGACGGACCGAAAAGTCCGATTTACAGCGATAAAGGAGATGGTATCGTCACTATGGAGACCAGGTAAAGGCCTATCAATCAAAGAAGTTGGGGAGAAAAGGTATTTGTTTACTTTTTATCACCGATTAGATATGAATCGTGTTTTAGATGGAGGACCATGGCAATTTGAGAAAAAATTATTGTTATTAAATGAGGTTAAACCTGATGATATTCCTCACAAAATTGTTCTGAATGAGGCTGATTTCTGGGTCCAGGTTCATAATGTGCCTTATAGCTTGGTTAATTTAGGTACGACCAGGAAAGTTGGCAATTTTATAGGAAAGTTTATGAAATACGCTGATAATCAAAATAGTGAAAAGTGGGAGGCTATATGAGAATACGAGTGTGTATGAATGTGGAAAAAGTTCTGAAAAGAGGTACTAATATGAAGAAGGATGGCAAAAGTTACTGAGTTGATTTTAAATATGAGAGATTGCCAAACTTCTGTTTTATTTGTGGAATAATTGGTCACTCAGACAAATTTTGCCACTTGAACTACGAAAAAGATATTGTTTTGGAGAAAAAGTTTGGAGTTCATCTCTGAGCAGGTATTGGAGGGAAGAGGAGTCTGACAGGGGGAAACCAATGGTTGCTGGAGGATTCATCGAGCTCTGGCAGGGACCAGGGGTACGGGGAAGGGGCTAAAACCGAGGATAGGATGAGAGTCGGGAGAAATAAATCAGGGGCTGAGTCAGAACAGAGTACAACAAAAGGTGTAGGAGGTGAGAATAAGGAAGAAGGCACAGGAGAACAAAAGCGTAGGAGGCTCTGGGAGACACGGGAAGATGATCTGCAAGGGAAGGAAAATATGGCGCTGATGGGAGAAAAAACGGGGAGAAGGCGGGATTCGAGCAGTAGGCCAGCCTATGAAGACTAAGAACCAGAGGCCAGGAATCTTGATAAGGGTGCAGAGCAAGCAGATTGGGAGGCAGACTATTATTTTTTATTTTAGCTTCTTTTACTTTTCAGACTGTTCTGTTTGTTTTTCATTTTGGTTTGCTATTATGATTACTGTTTGTAAGACATTGAGTTTGGATGTGGGTGAAAGTGGAATTAGGGTAACCGTTTTTGGCTCATTTGTGTCCATTAATGGATCAGCAAGTTATAGTGCTTTGGATGAGGTGATTAACTCTGAGTCTTATTCGCGGGATAACGGTTGTCAGGATTCTATTTGTCGGATTAATCATTATCTGAGTGTTGGGATTTCAATTTAAGCCAAATTCTTCCAAAACAAAAATAGTTAGAGATTTGGAAAACAGACCGAATATGATACTCCACTACATATATAAAACAGATGATTATGATTTATGAAAATCATCACCATAATATACTAGATCGCATTTAACTTTTAAATTATAGAGATTTGAAGATAAACAACTGCAGTTTATAAAAGTGAGACCACATTTTGAATTCATAAGGAGTAGCCATTATTATGGTATTGGTGGAAAAAGATGGGATATAATGTAAACAACCTAGAAGTTAGTCATTGCAGATAGATTGACCTGAGCATTAGAGGCCAAGTCATGACATGCACTCCAATATTATGACTATATATAGAGGGGAAGATCAGAAGACAATTAAGTGAGTGTTGTTCAAGTGGATCACATCTCAAGCTTAAAATTCTCCTATAGAGTCTTGGGTTCAAGTCATATAAATTTGGAATATTTTTCTCAAAGAGAATAATACATTTTAAGATTATTTTAGACATTTTTTCGTGTGAGGATAATTTAAAATAAAACTCAAAGTAACAAGAAATATATTCTTTGTTTCCCAGAAAACTTTGTCAGTTTTCATTATTACCTGAAAAACTTTATCACTCCCATTTCAAGTAATAAATAGAAAATATCTTATTAAACTTTATCAGTCCGACAGTCCCACAAAGGGAGTATTACCTCTACTCTTTAATACTCCATATTTGTTAGTTTTAAAAGTTTATCTTTTTTACTAGACTATTCACACATCTTATAAATGAATGACCATTTTAGCTCAAAATGAGTTGAAATTGACTAATCTAGACAATTAATTCACATGTAGCCTTGTTTGGATGAATAGCTCATCTTGACTGAACCTAAAATTAAACAATTAGTTTAAGAAGATACTAATTGGTACATTTCATTTTAACCTTTTAAATTACTGCAAGTTTTTGTTGACTCATCCTTCCGTTATCCAAACTTTATCTTGTTCATATTAAAACATTTACTTTATGGTAATTTTTAATTTTCCAATCGTTGTTTCAGATATGTTGCCAGGTAGGTGCCAAGCTTTTATAAGCCATCAGATGCAACAGAGTACATGTCACTCCCCTCCCTACCAGAGGATCAAAATCCCCAAACAATAGCCTATAAATCAGATAATGGACTCCCACTTTAATTCATTTTAGTCATAGTTTATTTTACGCATATTCAATTTATTAATGTGTTACAATTCATTAGGAAAGATATTGCTAGATTTGTGTTAATGTAATGTTTTAAAATATAATTCTAACTATATAATTGTTACTCATAACTAAAAGTATGTTTTAAAGTTAAAATCATGTAAGGTAAACTTTAAAGAGCCTAAGAATTTCATTAGATGAGAATAGTGTGAGCGTGTTTGAGAATTAACGGTTAACGCAATATATTAGTAAGTTGTTAATAGCGAATTCATTCAGTGAATTTGAATGACTTGGGGAATGAGTTGGCGTGTTGACGGTTTGCAAAAAAAAATTGTTTGGTAATTTAGTAGTTCGTCGTAGCGCTTAATAGACAATACCTTATTTTAAAATGCTACATTCAAAACAATATACTATTTGCGTCATTTTCATTTCAGTGTTTCCGAAAACATTTCCTAAACAATATGAATTAGCATTTTGACTGATTAAAAACATTAAAAGACCAAATCGTCATTTTCTTACAAACACCCTGTTTGAAGTATTATTGTGGGAGTTGGAGATTTTATTGTCTCAATTTCTCATGATCGAAAGTAAATACGGAGTACATTAAAATACTCCTGCTTCATATCATCATATGGAAAGCACCCCGTGCTTTCTTTGGGAAGGTTATGAGAGTGCACATTCAATGTGTTTCATCAGTTTGGTAAGATGGAAACATGAAATGAAATGTTTCAAAATTGACGGTCCAACGCCGTGGATTTATGTTAAATAAAATAGGAAAATCATACGAGTACGAAACTGTTTGGGGAGATAAGAGTACAAACTTGAGATAATAGCTCTAAGGATGTTTTCTTTTGGATCAAAATTTGTTGATCTGATCTAATCTGGTATAGTGTGATCTGATCAGTTTAAGTCTGGTCTAGTTTGGTCTGAACTGGTCTAGTCTGCACTGGTAAATGTCTGGCTCTGTGTATTTTATAATTGTCCAAGTCTGTTTTAATTTGGTCTGATCTGCTCTGCTTAAGTATGCTGGTTTGGTCTAGTTTGATGTGTTTAAGTCTGGTTTGGTTTGATTTGGTCAGGTCTGAGACAGGAAACAGTCCAAAAGAAAACATCCTAAATAGGGCGAAACTAATCTGATCTCTAAATGCATAAATAGAACTATGCTATTTATCTTCCCCAAATATGACTAAAGTATACCTTAACCTCCTATTCTAACCTTATACTACTTAATAACTTCATAGGATAATTATATTTTAATTTGTTATAAAAACAAAAAGTAATAAAAAATATTTTAACTCATACATAAATATAAAAAAAAATTGAAAAATGTAAAAATACTTTTAAAAAATACTAAAATAAAAAAACTAAAAAAAAAAGATTTTTAAAAAAATATAAAACTTTAAAAATAACTATATAAAAAAGATAAACCATATTTAAAAAAATATGGAGGCCTTTCCCGCAATCTCGGCCACTCCCCATCAATGTTACCTTCAATCACCTAAAAAATGCAATGTTGTGCAAAAGTTGTCATTTTTCTCTGGAAATGTCATGAAAATGACATTTTTACTCTTTGAAAATGTCAAAATTTCCTTGGTACTGCCATCAAGATGGCATTTCTGACACATGTTGGCATTTTTTCGATGGTCGGAGCTGGTAGATTGTTGAGGAGGCAACATAGGCCTGCATATATTTTTTAACATTTTTTACTGTTTTTATTTTTTATTTTAAATTTTTTTGTTTTTTATTTTATTATTTTTTATTTTTTCGATTTATTTTTATTAATTTTATTTCATATTTATTTCGTTTTTTATTTTTTTATATCTAAATTACTTTTATGTTTCAATTATTAATGAAATATGAATTAAATTAAAACAAGGCAAGGATAGAATTAGAAAGCTGGTCCTATTTAGGAAATTTTGAAGTTATGGTCCTATGTTTGTAATTAAAGTTTCATTTAATCCTATTTGGGGAATTCTCCCTTAAATGGAAAAATTCTTGAATTAAGAGTAAAAACGTTTGAGAATTCCAAAATATATAGGACCGACATGTTTTTATTCCTGATTAGGACTAGTTACTGGAAAGCTTGGAAAATACTGACATGTTTAAAGTCTTGTACTGCAAAACATAACAGTTATTACTCCTATTTAGGGAATAAAAATATAACAGTCCTATTTTGAAATACACAAATGTTTTTATTCCTATTTAGGGCAATTTTTCACAGTTAAATTTGAAGTAATTTAACAATACCTTAAACTTTTCTCCAAGTCTTCTTTCTAAATCTATCGTTATCCTTGAAAACAAAAGGAGGTTACCTTCAATCATTTTCTCAGCGATCTACACCCGAGAAATTCAGGAAATACCGGTCCCTACCATTTTCATACTGTAGTAGTAGTATCAATAACTTTTTACTACTCCAATTTAAGTGTATGTTGGATTTGTGGCCCCGTAATCCTAAAGTCGATGAACTATCCTATCCCTCCACAACTCATAAATTAAATTTGGATTTAATCACAGTCAACAAAACGTAAATTTGGGCGGAGGTAGAGGATGACCTCAATAAACCTGGTCCACCAAGTTTGAAAACAATTGGATTTTGATAGGTTTGAAAACACCTAATATTTTCTCATAAAATGTGGCCTTTGTTTGTTAAATTTCGATGTTTTTGCTCTTTTTTTGGTTTTACTTGTGCAATATTTTGGTTGTAGGGACCACGTGGAAGACTTGAGCATTGTAGGGGTGAAAATCGAGCATTTTGAAGAGTCTTGGGAACATAAATGGATGATTTGAATATCCCGGGGACTGAGTGGAGCACAAAGAAGCAAGAAACGAAGGTGCCGGAAGTGTTTTGGTGGATGCGGGCTTGGAACACCATAGAGAATGACCCCCCCCCCCCCCCCCCCCGTTCCCCTGCTCCCCCGTTTTGTTCTAACGGATTCCCAATCTATTGTACCAGGTGTAGGAACGTCGAAAGGGAACGCCGTCCCTGCCAGTGTTCCTACAAGAACTACGTCCCTACTCTGTTCCTCCCACCGTCGAACTCTCTAACAGCCGCCAGATTTTTATATGTGAAGGTAGGAATGCGAAGGGGGGACGTCGTTCCTCCCACCGTTCCCTCTGGCATTCCTCATCATGGGAAGTCGTTCTCTCTCAACGTTCCCCCGTTTCCCCTTTTGTATAAATAGTGCCCCTTGTTCGGATTTTGAGAGTTTTTGGACGAGTTTTCTTCTTGCAAACCCTAGTTTTGGTTGTAAGCTTCCTCGAACTCTTTTTCACTTCTTTTCTTAATATTATTTGCATCAAATCTTGATTCTAGCTTCATTTAATCCATTAGATTGCATCATTGTCATATTTCTTCCATTAGTAAACTTGGATTATTAATGCATGCGTCTCATGGTTAATAATCTAACGGGAATTAATTATGTTGATTAAACCAATAAACCACTTGTGTTGAGAATATCAATCTCAATCGTTTTCATCTTAAGTTTATTGCTACTATCGGGTTAATATACGACGTGTGTTCTATATTGACTTTAAGTTTTATTAATGAATGTGTCTCTTTATTAATAACCACCCTCGATGAATTGGATATACTCCTTGATTGAGTATTTGAGAGGAAGATAGTTAAAGATATAAACGAGATCGACGAACATTTCATTAAGTGGATAAAAGCAAAGCCAAGTCTCCATCTCAATAAGTAAAACACATAAGTCATTCATCTTAGTGTTTAAATACTCTTAAGTTCATCAACAATCATAAAAAAC